TATGTGTGGTATGTATCCTCCTATGTGTGGTATGTTATCACTCCTATGTGTGTGTTATCCCCTTTGTGGTATGTTATCACTCTATGTGTATGTTATCACTCGTTGTGTGTATGTTATCACCTTTGTGTGTATTCCCTGTGTGTATGTTATCACCCTATGTGTGGTATGTTATCACTGTGTGTGGTATGTTATCACTCTAGTGTGGTATGTTATACCCTATGTGTGGTATGTTATCACTGCTATGTGTGGTATGTTATCACTCCTATGTGTGGTATGTTATCACTCCTATGTGTGGTATGTTATCACTGCTATGTGTGGTATGTTATCACTCCTATGTGTGGTATGTTATCACTCGTATGTGTGGTATGTTATCACTCCTATGTGTGGTATGTTATCACTGCTGTAAGTAATGCTATCACTCCCTATGTGTGTATCACTCCTATGTGTGGTATGTTATCCTGCTATGTGTGGTATATTTATCACTGCTATGTGGTATATTATCACTCCTATGTGTGTATGTTATCACTGCTATGTGTGTGTTATGCTATCACTCTATGTGGTATGTTATCACTCATGTATCATATCCTTTCACTATGTGTGATATGTTATCACTCCTATGTGTGGTATGTTATCACTCTATGTGTGGTATGTTATCACTCCCTATGTGTATGTTATCACTCCTATGTGTGTATGTTATCACTCTGTGTGTGTATGTTATCACTCTATGTGTAGTATGTTATCACTCTATGTGTGTATGTTATCACTGCTATGTGTAAAAGTATGTTATCACTGCTATGTGTATTATGCTATCACTCCTATGTGTGTGTTATCCTCTATGTGTGGTATGTTATCACTCTATGCTGTGATATGTTATCACTGCTATGTGTGTGTCTTATCACTCTCCTATGTGTGTATGTTATATATATGTGTATGTTATCACTCCTATGTGTGTATGTTATCACTGCTACGTGTGTTATGTATCACTCCTATGTGTATGTTATCACTCCCTATGTGTGTATGTATCACTCTATGTGTGTGTATGTTATCTTTCGTATGTGTGTATCATATCACTCATTATGTGTGATATGTTATCACTCCCTCCTATGTGGTATGTTATCCTCTATGTGTGAAATATTATCACTCCTACTGTGTGAGCATGTTATCACTCTATGTGTGGTATATTTATCACTGCTGTATGTGTGGTATTATCACTCCTATGTGTAGTATGTTATCACTGCTATATAGTATGTTATCACTCTATGTGTGTATACTATGCTCCTATGTGTGTTATCACTCCTATGTGTGGTATGTTATCACTCCTATGTGTGGTATGTTATCACTCCTATGTGTGGTATGTTATCACTCGTATGTGTGGTATGTTATCACTCCTATGTGTGGTATGTTATCACTCCTATGTGTGGTATGTTATCACTCCTATGTGTGGTATGTTATCACTGCTATGTGTGGTATGTTATCACTCCTATGTGTGGTATGTTATCACTCCTACGTGTGGTATGTTATCACTCCTATGTGTGGTATGTTATCACTCCTACGTGTGGTATGTTATCACTCCTATGTGTGGTATGTTATCACTCCTATGTGTGGTATGTTATCACTCCTATGTGTGGTATGTTATCACTCATATGTGTAGTATGTTATCACTGCTATGTGTGGTATGTTATCACTCGTATGTGTGGTATGTTATCACTCGTATGTGTGGTATGTTATCACTCGTATGTGTGGTATGTTATCACTGCTATGTGTGGTATGTTATCACTCGTATGTGTGGTATGTTATCACTGCTATGTGTGGTATGTTATCACTCCTATGTGTGGTATGTTATCACTGCTATGTGTGGTATGTTATCACTGCTATGTGTGGTATGTTATCACTGCTATGTGAGGTATGTTATCACTGTTATGTGTGGTATGTTATCACTCCTACGTGTGGTATGTTATCTCTCCTATGTGTGGTATGTTATCACTGCTATGTGTGGTATGTTATCACTCCTACGTGTGGTATGTTATCACTCCTATGTGTGGTATGTTATCACTCCTATGTGTGGTATTATCACTCCTATATGTGTAGTATGTTATCACTCCTATGTGTGTATATTTATACTCCCTATGTGTGGTATATTATCACTGCTATGTGTAGTATGTTATCACTCCCCATGTGTGTGTATCACTGCTATGTGTGTGTATCATATATGTGTGGTATATTATCACTGCTATGTGTGGTATGTTATCACTGCTATGTGTGGTATGTTATCACTCCTATGTGTGGTATGTTATCACTCCTATGTGTGGTATGTTATCACTCCTACGTGTGGTATGTTATCACTCCTACGTGTGGTATGTTATCACTCCTATGTGTGGTATGTTATCACTGCTATGTGTGGTATGTTATCACTGCTATGTGTGGTATGTTATCACTCGTATGTGTGGTATGTTATCACTCGTATGTGTGGTATGTTATCACTCCTATGTGTGGTATGTTATCACTGCTATGTGTGGTATGTTATCACTGCTATGTGTGGTATGTTATCACTCCTATGTGTGGTATGTTATCACTCCTATGTGTGGTATGTTATCACTGCTATGTGTGGTATGTTATCACTGCTATATGTGGTCACCAGGAAGCGGAGGTTTACCTGTCGTTGTCTGCAGTTATAATGACTTTTAATAAGGTCAAGGGGAGTACTTCTGTTTTTGGCAGATGTTAGAATATTACTAGAAGGAGAGGAGATATACTCTACATAATGGTATTTACTAAAGGGATGTGTACCTTTTATATCACTATTGCATATCTGTGAAGCCTTGAAAATACTGCTCCTTATACGTTCCCTATAAGAGTCAGCTGCTTCTGGATACAGTCGCTCTTTCGTTTCCTATGTAACACCTATACCTCATATAGTCACCAAAGATTCATCACTTGCGCTATACTGGTTATAATATGGCTATTTTCACTCCCTTGTCAAAATGAACATCACTACACATACATACATACATACATACATACATACATACATACATACATACATACATACACGATACTAGCGAGGGATCTAGTATACTCGTGCATTTATACCTCCATTGTCACTTAACCTTCGCCCTGGGGGTCATTCCTTCCATCACGTAATGTTGAATTTTTAATTATATTTGTCCCCGCCGCCCAAATTATAGGGGTCCATCTCATGACGTATAATTTTGGTTTTAATTATGACGTGTTAATATTTTATCGGCTGCACCACTGTCATTAAGAGCGAGAATTGGCATTTTGAAGGACACAAATTTTTAACCCGAGTTGAGATTTTTTTTTTGGGGGGGGTGGGAGGAGGGGGTGTTTTGGTTTGTGTGTTTTTTTTTATATCGATTGATGTTTATGGAGTGTATGTGTCACGTATGTGTTGTTTGTGTATGATTGTGTGTATTGGTTGTGTATGAAATATAATATGTATGTGTTAATTATGTATGACGTGTATATATGTATGTAGTAAATATGTATGATGTGTGTATATATGTATGTATTAAATGTGTGACGTGTGTGTATATATGCGTGTACGAGTATTTACTGTTCTGAAGTGTTTGGATAAGTATTAGCTGTGAATAATGTATGAATTAATTCTGTATTATGTATACATTTACTGTCCCAAATGAAGTGTAATTATAGCTCGTATTAATATGGTAGGAAGTGTGTATTTAACATATATAATTTGTGTATGAAATGTGTGTGTGTGTGTGTGTGTGTGTGTGTGTGTGTGTGTGTGTGTGTGTCACTTGTAACTATAAGTCATAAATCTTACGCCTCTTTACACCCCACTCACCCCCCCCCTCTAACACCTCCCACGACTAGCCCGCTTCTCTAACCACACAGCGCTCCTCGTCCGCTTGACTATCCAATATACATCCCAACTAGCCAGCTCTACTAGCCTGTCTTACTGTCCCCTTTTTTTTAACTAGCCTAATTAATCCTGGTTCCGGATCAGCCCCCGTGTTCTATCTCCCCGAGTGACCACGTTTCCAGGAACACGGTAGAGCCTGGAACACGGTAGAGCCTGGAACACGGTAGAGCCTGGAACACGGTAGAGCCAGGAACACGGTAGAGCCAGGAACACGGTAGAGCCTGGAACACGGTGGAGCCTGGAACACGGTGCCGTAATGCTTAATGGAGGGCGACAGTGAGGATTTATGGCTCGCGAAAGAACGACATAATTGTGTGGCGAGTTGAAAGACAAATTATCACCATCAAAACTTTGGCGCGGATTAGGACCAGAATTATTTGGAATCTCTGCATGACGACGATAAAAGTTTTCACCGCAGAAAACAAAGTAACATACTTATATTTATGCAATTTTAGCTGTGATTTATTTTCTCTAGTCATGTTTGTTAACGAGAGAATGTTTGATATCGGTGGTGGGTTTTTTTTTTTTTTAGTTGTAAGGAATAGAAGTTTAATATTCCGTCAGGAGCGGCCGTAAAGTTTCCGTGACGGGCGCCAATGAAACCAAACTGTGACGAATACGATTTGTGCAATTTTAGCTTAATGATGACTGATTGAGCCAATATTTATTTCGAACTATAATCTCCGGAGCTTTGTGGCCGTTATCCTCGTCTGGGTGACCGGTGTCCGCTCCCCCGTCACTTCTCTATATATTATACTGACATATTTAACAAAGATCACCACCAACTTTCCCGCCCAGATATTGTGCCGAGAAGTTCGCCGCCATCTTCCTTGATGTATTCGTGAGAGATGAACGACGCTAAGACATGATAATAAAATACGTTGTTTAAAGCGCGGGAGAAGGTTTAGTGTGTGTGTGTGTGTGTGTGTTGAACTGCTATGAGCATTAATGTTCTCCGCACTGATAATACGAGGAGTGGAGAGAGAGAGAGAGAGAGAGAGAGAGAGAGAGAGAGAGAGAGAGACTTTATATTATACTAATAGAGTAAAACATTATTTATGAGGTACAAGTGTACTAACTGGTGTTGGTCCCACAGGATGCCATGGAGGTGGTGAGTGTAGCCGCTAACGTGGGCGAGGTACTCGGAGGTCCCCAGCCACCCACCACGCCCACCTTCTCCCACGACCATGCCATCCACGCCCACACAGACCACACAGGTAACTCATTCACACGAGTCTTCCATTTTTGTGATGTTTAGTTTTTATCAACTTATTGTAGAAGCAGATTCTGATTTTCTAGCTATTGGGGTCTTTACTTAGTCCTGTTTTATGCCCCTGTAATATACCTTCATTAGGTGTGATGACTCTTATGACCTCCAGTTACCGCCGGGACTTACTAGTATTTTACATGTCCTGACAGACCGTGTGCGACCTGACGAAGATGAGGATGAGTATGAAGGAGACTCCAGAATGGACACCGATCAGGATCTTGGGGGCGAGGACGCCACCTGCGACCCCGAGGACGTCCCTGAGGAGTCTTCAGTGCTGGATATGAATATATTCAAGCAAGAACCCTCCAGTCACCCCCTGGAGGAGGAGTCCAACCATGAGCCAGAGTCCGCGCCTCTTGACGACGACGTCCCCGGTGACCTAATGGACTGTGATGACTCAGAGAGCGCCCCGATGTTTATAGACGACGACTCGTCCTCGCGAGCGTTTCCCGAGACCACGAATGACGCTCCTGTAGGGTCACCCTCTACAGCCCTGCCCATGCCAGAGGCCGGGCGACGCAACAAACGCAAGAACTTCAAGCCGCGTAACATTGTGTACACGTACACGGACAGCGAGGACACGGAGGGCACCAGTGACGCTGAAACACGGTCGCACCTCGCGGCCTCAGACCCTCATTACGACACTGCCGTCCCCGAGCCACTCGACTTATCTGAGACGCCAACCATGCGGCGCTCACTCATGCCTCGGCGTTTGGACGAGGCCGTGGATCTGACGGGCGGCGCGGGCGTGTCTGTGAGCAGCGGGGGCGTCAGTAGCCCCAGCGCCCACCCGCGCCTCAACGCCTTACTATCCCGCCCCACCTCTCCCGGACCTCATGAGGATGGTGGTGGCGCCGACGCCTCCGACATGAAGGAATACGCCGAGCTCACTATGCGACGTCTCCTCGGCCTCTACGGCCTCAACGACCTCCCCGACAACCTGGGACTACCTCCACCTGCACTATATCCAGGTGAGTGGCCTCTCCTCCTACCTTCATCCCCCTGACTGATACTCGCAACATATCAGGTCGTCATCACTCACGCCTTGTTGCACTCGCTGCCTCCCATCATCATCACCACCACCACCACCCCAACCACACCCACCCACCCACCCAACTCACCTACCATCTAGCCTGCCACCCATCACCCACCTTGCCCACCCACCCACCACCCACCCACCCTGCCCACCACACCACCCTGCCTGCCCTAAAACACCAACACGAGACACAACACATACTCCGTCAGACGACCTTGTTGATCCAGTGCCCCCCTCCCTCACATTCTCTCCTACCATAAGTAGCAAACAGTGAAGGATTGTCATTATGGCTCAGAGGTACGACCATACTCTTTGTTCTTTATGTATCATATTATCTTCTACATCTGTGTGTATTATCGTGTCTTTAACCACTATACATGATCTTTTGTTCTCTGTTTATCTTAGTGTCATTCACCTTCGTGTATTTTCACATTCTTGACCTATTTATATTATCTTTAAGCTTCTTTGTATGATCGTATCTTTATGTATATTGTCGTATCTTTTGACATCTGTATATTCATTCCCGTATCTGTAAGGTCTTGTGAATTCCCGTATCTTGACTCCTCCCACATCCGTTTCTCACAATCACTCGTGAACGCATTAAGACGCAAGCAAAGTCAAGTTCCTGATAAACAAGGCCTTTGCTGTCGCCTCCGTGTTTACCTCTAGTCAGCTGAGTTGTGTACGTGGTGGTAGTGGTGTGGTGATGATGATGATGATGATGCTGGTGATGACTGTGGTGGTAGTTGTGTGATAGTGGTGGTGTGATGATGGTGGTGGTAATGATAGTGATAGTGTTGATGGTGGTATTATTGTAGTGGTGTGGTGTAGTGTCATGGTGAAGGTAAAAGAAGAAGGATATCATCATAATAATACCACTTTACTTCCATACCACAACTACCACCATCACCACCTGCAACTGCCCCCCCCCCTCTCCATAACTACCACCACACCTGCAAGTACACCACTCCCTCCCACATTTACCACCACCCCTACCCATCCTCCCCACATCTCCATAAACCTTAAAACCCCTTAAAACTACAACACTACTTTAAATGCCCTTCACCACACTGTCAAGGAGGACACTTTAAATTTAGGTACAATATGGCGTAGCTTGTGTCGTCTCCTTATTATCGTAAACTTTAGGTCCCTCTTACCCCCCCCTCACCCTCCTCTCACCCCTCTCACCCCTCTCACCCCTCTCACCCCCTCTCCCTCTGGTGTATCTTGTTGTTTCTTGGGTTTAATGAGCCTCTTCATCCCGGCAACACAAACACATGAAACTGTACAGGATGGTTAAAAATGGTGGCGCTTGATTATTGTGTGAGTAATGCAGGGAGGGGGCGGCCGTCTCTTGTGTGAGAGAGGGAGAGAGAGAGAGAGAGAGAGGTTGACAGAAAATATAGACAGATTGAGAGATACATATTAGAATGTGACAGATAAACAGGAGTCTCCCATACCACCACTGTGAGAGAGAGAGAGAGAGAAGTATTAATATTCCGCGAAATAGAGGAGCCTTTGTTTATCATGAGCCGTGATGACTGATGACGTCAACGAGAGAGAGAGAGAGAGAGAGAGAGAGAGATTCACTATTTGCTCTCTTTACTCAACTTAAGTAAGACAAAGATAATAAGAAAGTTTTGTCTCTTTTAGGTAGTGACATGAGAGTGAACTAATACACGGTGTGGTATAACTATAGGTTGTGATATAACTACAAGGTGTGGTATAACTACAGAGTGTGGTATAACTACAAGGTGTGGTATAACTACAGGGTGTGGCATAACTACAAGGTGTGGCATAACTACAGGGTGTGGTATAACTACAGGGTGTGGCATAACTACAGGGTGTGGCATAACTACAAGGTGTGGCATAACTACAGGGTGTGGTATAACTACAAGGTGTGGTATAACTACAGGGTGTGGCATAACTACAGGGTGTGGTATAAGTAGAAGGTGTGTGTAAGAGAACAAGGTGTGGTTTATATTTTACGGTCATCAGGAGAAATAAACAGCCTGGTTTATTTTCAACTGCATGAAGGGAATTAAAACGGTCTGGTTTAACTCTAGTGCCTGCAAGAGAAATTTAACCTGTTGGTTTTATCTTCTGGTATACAGTTGAATTAAAACAGTCTTTATTTACAAGTGTGTACAGGGCATTAAAACTAGCTATGGTTTAATTTCTAGTATCTGTAAAGGAATTTTTAAAACAGGATCTGGTTTAACATTAATCCTCACGTGAATTAAATTTAATGACTAATTTTATTTATTTTCAAGTGTGTGTGTGAGCTGGGAACTAAAACCAGTGAAAAAATAAAATAAAATACGGTTTAAAAAAATTCTGAATAAACCCCCACTGAACCGCTCCCCCCCCTCCCCCCCCTCGCCTCTCCCCTCCCCAGCCGTTGAACATCATCTACGTAACCCTGATATGTGACACGCATTAATCCCATGTTGGGTTCGCGCGCCTCCACTAGCCGGCAGACTATGTCACACATCAACATCCGCGTTCTATGGCGAGTTATTATTACTGCGGATCCGGATAATTCCTTGGATTATTTCGGATAATTGGAGAGGCCAGAGAGAGAGAGAGAGAGAGTTAAAAGGGGAGAAGAAGTAGGGGGTGAGGGGAAGGGGCGAGGGGAAGGGATGAGGGGAAGGGGTGGCGCTACTATCGGTGTGCGTGATACTCTGTATGAGACTAGACCAGGGTGAGGGGAACCAGACCTGAGAGGAGGGGAGAGGGAGACTATCATAAGTGAGAGGGGAAAAGGAGGGAGGAAAGAGGGGGAGGAAGGTAGATATTATATGGTATAGGTGAGGGAAAATGGATGTAATAGGAGGAGAGAAGAGAAGGAGAAGGAAACAGAGAGATTATAATGTCAATTTAATATTAGCGTAAGTGCGTCGTCTAATCTATACAGTACTTAACACTACACTACATAAACCGTACTTACAAAACCCACACACGCAATTTCACTTTACAACATAAATTTACCTAAGTGTTAAGATAAGATAAGAAAATTACTACTTCTAAGGGGACAATTGGCGTCATGATGAAAAGTACCAATTTTACAAGCTACCAATTCCGAGATAAAAACAACAATAACAATTTCTAGCCACTTTTAACCCTTCCTGGTTAACTACCAATTAAGCACCGCACCCCCCCCCCTCTCCTCCCCCCAACACTCTCTGATGGACAGTGATGATAAACTCTCCTATTTTCTCTCCCCCTCCTTCCTTCCTTCCCTCCCCTCAGTTACTCTCCCCCTTTCACACACTTCCATTTTCTCTCCTTCCTATCCCTCGTTTCCCTCTCACCTCTCCTCACTCCTCCCTCTCACGCTCCCTCTCACCCTCTGCTCATACTGGCCACTAGGGGAGAATATGGCGCTGGTGCTGTTTTAAGTCTCATACTGGCCACTAGGGGAGAATATGGCGCTGGTGCTGTTTTAAGTCTCATACTGGCCACTAGGGGAGAATATATAACGCCATTGGCACGGATCTCTCGTCATATAATACCAAGATGCGGGTTTGTTACGTATCGCGTTTCCCAGGCAGATCAGTTTTCATTTCAATTTGGATATTTTTTTTTTCGTCTTCTCTCTATTAAGTGATGATCCATATAGCGTGGCGTCACATGGGTCAAGCAGGAACAGGATAAAAAGATACTCGTTACGTTATTAAAGTCTTCCCGGAACTGAGTATTGAGAGATCGCTTCTATAAGTTACAAGTATACAAGACTCGAATAATTTCTGTTCATTTATTGTTCCTTGGCTTGATTTAAACATACTTAGTAGTTTTTTTTAGTTATATTAATGAAGTAATGTATGTACAGTTATTTAGTTTTTGTCAGAGTAATGAGCTTAAGTTATTAGAGTGTAATTAGTTAGACCTCATCTCTCAACACGTCTTTAACTGCAGTAGAGGTTAATTAAAAGTCAAACCAATATGGCGTGATATGAAAAGGACTTATTATAGCTTAAATGATCATTACACTGGGTGATGGAATTTATACAAGTAATATATGTTATTAGCCAACGGGGAATTATTTAACGTTCGAAGCTTGGAGACCACTTCTAGGTGAACCGTTTCTGTCAGTTCTTTAGTTAAGGGGAACTATGTAACGTAGGAACTCGTGAGGAACTATCTGAAGTGACCTAGTATAAGGAAGGTAGTTATGATGGATTCTCACTTAACCTCCAAGAAAGGTGTTGAATATTTAACGTAGAAACATGTGAGAAACACTGACGAAGGTTGTGTTGCGTGGGTGTGTTGCGTGGGTGTGTTGCGTGGGTGTGTTGCGTGGTTGTGTTGCGTGGGTGTGTTGCGTGGGTGTATCCTTGTGTTACAGTGGTGTTGAGTCACGATAAACGCTATCATAGTCCCTAAGTGCATGGGTGTATGAGAGGCATTTATGTATGCAGATAAATACATATACAGGCCTCTTCCACCCATCACCTGCCACTACCACTATGAGCCCATCATATTTGTCCATCACCCATCACCTACCACCCATCACCACCACCCACCAACCACTGCCGCCCACCACCCGTTCACAACTACTTACCACCCACCTCCCATAACAACTGTCCACCACTCCCACCCACTACAACTACCCTCCACCCATCACCTCCGCCCAATATCACGTGCCACAGCCCACCGCCCATTCTGGCAAAGTCGTCGGGTATCATCAGAAGGGTGGGCCGCCCACCTCCCGCCCGCGCCACGTAATGGAAAGTCAACACCACGCCCACGCCAGTCCATCTGAGGTTTCCTGCTGGGATGGGGTGGGAGGGGAGGAGGAGGAAGAAGTGAGGAGGGAGATATAGGTAAAAGGGAGAGAAGGGAGAGAGGAGTAGGGAGAAGAGAGGAGGAGGAGGAGGAAGAGATTAAGGAGGATAAGGCAAGTGAGGAGAGGAGATAGAACTGAAGGGG